AAGAAATAAAAAAATGTCATTCTCAACAGAAATAGGCGAGTGATAGATATTAAAATAGAATTCGATGATGAACAACCGTTTCTATGATTTTGATGCATCAATATGTATTACATTACATGCGTATCTACGCTTTTCCATGCTTTTTCATTCGATAATTTTTCAATCAAAATAGCAAGTGGTCCGTAATAAGTGGGCACCCGGTAGCAATGTGTTTGTCGTCAAACTCGCGACAAAATGGTCGAACTAAATGGGTACGTTGAATCCTTAATGAGACGTTCCGATACCGTTGTCCCAGCTGTGGCACGGTGCGGTGCGAAAGGTAGTCTGAGTATGTGGGACGCTACGTATGGTACCGGTCGTCTGGTCGTCCGGATGAACATGTATGGTCATCGCATGCGTGAAATCTAGCATAGGAACGAACATGCGTAGCACCGGATCTGCCATCGTCCAAGTTTTCGTTAATCATACACCCAACCACTAGTGAAAACCGGTTCTTCCGGTATTGCCGCTATGTTCCTCAGGTCACAAATTCGGAATTACCGCATTACAGGAATGTCAGCCTTCCCACGACCGTGGCCGGCAATAACATATTCGGCTCTGTCGTCATCGCTTTATCATCGCACGATTTTTCAAAGAATTCTCTTATACCGCGCCTTTTTCCTCGATTCATCCAATTCACATGAATTTCCTCATATTTGCACGGATTTAAGAGATCGGTATTCGAAAATCGAATTGTTTTTCTGCAAGTAGTCGAATTGTTCAAAGATTACCTCATCTCGCAATATCTCGGCAATAAGTCGCTCGTAAGCCACTCGTAAACCGCTCGTAACCCGCGCGTAAGCTCACACGTGCTATATTTGGCATTATCGCTGCGTGGTCGTAATTTCTATATCATTGATATTTATTCCTCACACGTAATTTGCAATTGTTCTAGAGTGCAATTTTATTTCCTAATGACATGAAATAACTATACTTAATATTGAACAATCCTATCATAGATCTGCAATATTCACGCTGTCGCTTACGATCCGCTCGCGATATTCGATCCGCGTACGTATCAAAAATTTTATGAATCCATATAATAACTTAGGAATTAGCGTTGAATTAAATCAAATAATTAATCTTTAGATTACACATTGTATCAATCACTGTTACTGCGCGCAGTTAACAAATCTACATGAGATTTTACATCCTAAAGTGAACGCAGTATTTTAACTAGCTACAAAATAATATAACATTATCGTTATTCTCGTTGTCATAATTCTATCTGATTAAAAAACATTAAATATTAACGTTGTTAACAATTTATTGCACCCATTTTGAACAGCAAAACTTTGCACAACTTTCGCAAAGAATGTAAGATTCATTAATATTTATTTCATTACTCTTGCTAAAGTTCAGTCGGCTGAACTGGCTGAAATGGCTATAAGGTCATTTATATTATAATAAGAAATGACACTTTATTTCGCGTCAGAAAGATCAATATAATATACTTTTTTATTACTATCGACCGTAAATAGTAAATAAGCTTATACGTATGTACATAAGAAGAAATATAAATGGTCGTAAGTCAAATTAAAATAATGTTTATCGATTTTAATCATCTCTAAGAAATACACATCAATATTTCATAACAAAATTATGCGTGACATGTATAAATTACATCTTATTGTCAGCCACGCTGATATAGCAATAGATATAGCATAGAGTTTTAGCAATTATTTGTATAGGCACTATACATCTCATGGCAATATTTTTTCAAAATATTAGCTTGAATAAAAAATAACATATAATTGCAGTTTTAAGAACTACAGTTTCTTAAACAATTTTTCAAGTTCTTTTGTAAAAAAATATTTTTCTTCGTAATCTACCGAATTCGAAAAACGTGGATTACTAGTTTGTCACATGAAATAATTTGTAATAAAAGTTTTAGAAAAATTAATTTGTTTCTATAAGCAAATCACCCCCCAAAGTCTGATAAATCAACGAAATATTGCAAAACCTTTTCTGTCTGGTAAAGGTAGGGTATTTTGTTAACTGCTCTGTAAGAGAGTTACCGTTACGCGGTTATGCCACTGCAGGTTCAACGTCACGGTGTAAACCGCACAGCCGATGCCATGATGACGCGTGTGCACGCAGTGCGTACTTTTAGATTGATCGGAGAATTACCGTAAAATCTTATCAGTTGTTCTTATTTTCTGCCTTATTTTAACATTCGTTCATATGATTTCCTCAATCTAAAGCATAAAACTTTTTGCATATTAATTAATACGCAACACATATTACAGCTGCACATTAAATTTCGAAGTAAAACTCAATATTCTTTAGTATATTTTTTCATTATGACCTTCTATTGTGAACAACACAAAATAAATCAATGTCACATATCTATATAGATTATTGTAATATTTATCTATCGCGCCTATTCTTGCATGAGTTTAAATGAATGAAAATAAATCAAAGATAGCTTAAAAATCACACGATACCACTCGTAATTTACTACTCGTAAATTCTGATATAAATAAATTGGGAAATGTATCTTGATAAGAATGATGTGCGAAAGATACGAACTCTTTACGAAGTCAATGACGAGCATCAGCCAAGGTTTTCAGTCAAAAGTTGTCTTCCGGGTTTCGTAACGGTTTGCGTCTCGGTTGGAAGGACTAAAATACTTATAAATTGCGTGTGTATAGAATATTAACACGTTGCAACAAGCAGGAATAAATTGAACAATTGTGTTTGATAAAAAGAAAATATTGAGGCAGTATGGAGAAAATATCTCCTACACAGAAATCCAAATAATAATTTAAAGAATTTTATATATAAGTACATATATATTTCTTTTTCTACATATAAATAATTTACTCGAATATTGTGTGTAAATACGCGCACATGCGTATAAACGCAAGCATAATCGGAAAAAGAATTAGAAAACACATTTACTATCATAGAATAAATATTCAATAAATGTGTCAAGAGCTATAATATATGTTTAGGCATTTTATATTTAGATCATATTTTCGAAAGGATTTGTTATCGAAGAATTTCACTTGACGGTAAATATTTTCCGTGCTCGTCGCCGTCAGAGACAAGTGTTTGGATCAAGATCGCCGAGAAAGTTAATTTCCCCACGGAAAGTATCGACCCGACCCAATAAAGCAAAGAAGTTGTTTCTAATTCAGTTGTCATAAATGGTTGGAACGTAAAATGCCTATTAAAGTACATTTATACGCGAAGTAGATAACGTACGAATAATCCTTGACATATTTCTGCTATGAGAAAAACGCTCAAACAAACAAAAATTATAAAAAGAACATAGGGTTAGCATTATGTCAAAAGTCGAAGACATTGCAACGGATTATTGCTTTCCGATATGACCTTCCACATCGCAGTGCGATAACTGTGGAATTTCATATGGTAACCATCAACGCGAAATTGCGACTTAAGTATACGATAATGAATGGATGTAGTGTATTGCGTAACATTCTGTTTGCGTGCAATACTACCAAGAAATCTATCTAATTATATGAATGATCGGGAATTATTTTTGAAATTTTTTTTCCTCGTTCACTTGATTTGTGTCGCACGAAACACAATCCGACTAATGTTGTCTTATTAATAAATTGGCAATTCCAAAAGCTCGATATGATAAATATGAAGAAAATTTTCATAACATCCCAACACTTGGCGGTATTCCAAAATAGAACAATAGTACAACTAAGAGAGAAATTCTACATAACATAAAGGAGGAACTTGGAGTATCTTGTGGAGTATTCTAATCTTAAATCTCGAGTGTTTAAATAATGAAATACATCCTGCTGCCAATTGGCAATATTACAGTAGTGTAATATTCTTACACAGATGTTTGTAATCTTCAAAAGTGAAAGAATGTATAAATTATTGTCACAATTTAGCGGATAATCAACAAAGTTTGTGCGTTTTTTCATAAGGTTTATTATTAGCAAAACCGCACGAACTTTGTTGATTACTTGATAAATGTATATAATTGGTAAATAGAAAATGTAGATAAGAATACATGTATAATGTATCTATCATGAATTATTCAATCGTCAGTTTTAACTTTTTAATCAGTTTATGATACGTCTATTGAAATATTAGAAATTGCCGCATGATATAAAAATATACGCACGCAAGTGCTTTGAAATTTCTATTATTAACTATTGCGTGATAAGGTCAAGTCTATTGCGAACAAAACGCAATTTTTAGAAATAGAAAAGCTATACTTAATAAACTAGGAATCAAACCTTAATTATAAGCAATGATCGACATAGCAATAAATTATATCATTAATGGTAATTAGTGCTAGCAGATTATTCTAATGAACATGTAAATCGTATGTCAGAGTGATATATGTGTACAAGACCTTAAAAATTATTGCGCATTTCAAATGAAAATTCACTGGCTACACATCTAAACATCACGAATAAATTAAGATTTGTTTAAGTAAACATAAGAAACAACTTTTACAAAAGACTGCTAAATATTTACTGCTTTAAAAGAATTTAAAACTAAGCTCTCAAATTTATTTTTTTATTCGTGCAACTCTATTCAACGAAGCAAAATAAAATCTGTTCGATAATATTTTTTGCGATATCTTAAAATTCGAGACCAGAGATTTTATTACAAGTAACTTGATTTATTATGTTCAGATTATAGGTATAGATAGAATATATAGATAGATTGTGCGCGCGTGTGTGTGTATGTGTGTGTGTGTGTGTGTGCGCGTGTACACGTTGAAAAAAAAACAATACACTACGTCATAATGCAATGCAACGTTGCTTTCTCGTGGAACCGATTCGGAAATTGTGGTAAACATATAAAATTATATTTTACCATGAGAACGTAAATTTAGTATCAAACTAGATTGTGCCAATTTGCCATGCTTAGGCATGGCAAGAGGCGTCCAGCGCTCGCGTCTCACGTTACAAACATTTGTACACAACGGCTCGAATAAACAGAGAATAAGCTGTGATGCTTACCAGCTGCACCAACTTGAGGATGCCGGGTATAGTCTTGAAATAAGCCACATTCAGCCTGATACCAGCCAGGGGATTCGGCTGACCCGGTTCCGTCTTCACCGTCGGCACTTGCCGCGGATTGTTGCTGGCATTGTTGCTGGAACCATCCATCGTCACCACGGTCTCCGACATCATATTACGCCGATCCGCACACTTAGGTTGTTCACCACACGCGTTCGCGCTCGCGTTCACGTTCACGCTCGGTCGTGCTTCTGTTCACTCGTACACGGAGTGAAAGGCGACGGGGAATAAACACCGAGGGAACAAGATGGAGAACTGGACCGGTATCACAGGAGAGCCGATCGCGGGACACCTGTTGTATGCTCACCACGGCCCGCTGCGCACTACCAAACGCACTACCTAGTATTAACGGCGAAGCCACTATTCTTTCACTACGATCGCTGCCACGACCGTTGCCCAACGCCGGATCAATCAAACCTACGTGTCGTGCTTCATTTTTAATTGCCATGAATATACCTCTCATTCGAAGAGAAATAAGATAAATCTTCGTGAAAACAAAATTGTGTTATAGCATGAAATAAAAAACAATATTGACTCTCTGTAATGTGTAAAATTATGATATACAAGAAATAATGATGATCTAATAGGAAAATCGAAAAAAAAAAAACAATTATTAATCAATTAATTTCTATTATCGTTGGACAAGAAAATAAAATGTAACATCACTCTTATCAATTTTTTGATTTATCAATCATGTATCTTTGTTGAATAGGTTTAAAAATGTTCAGGATATATCATGAGAAACTATAGTGTGTAACACCTCGAGCCCGTAGAAGATCCGTTACTGATTTTACCCCACTTCTACTCGAAGAAGTGGTAGGAGTGCATACCGCTACGTTGTATGCACTTTTCAGTCTCTTTCCTCTTTCGCTTCTATCGTTTATACTCGCCAATGTTATCTTTTACAATTTTTTTAAATGTAAAAATTGTTCATATACACAGCGTTCAGTAACGTCAGGTTTGCATAAATTGCAATTTTCTTTACGTTAAAAGCGATGAAAAGCTAATACATGTAGTAAAAAATAAAGCGATAGATACAATTATAAAAGATTCATATATAATATAAACATATACTTGAACGAGAAACACATATTCTCATTAAAAAGATTTCAACTAATATACTGTGTTTAAATCATGCCACGAGTCGAAGCGATTCATTGCTGTCACGTGATCCGTGACGTCGCATCAGCTGATAAATACTACGCGTGTATGCGCTATACGCGCAAAGCTGACACCGACTGACATCCTTCGATTACATTTGCTGGCAGGCACCGTTGTGTGCGCCAATGTGTGCCGATTGCCATCGATGAAACGGATTGTCACTGTTATGAACGAAATAGATTTGAAGAATACAAGACATCACACATTTTCGCTGTATCAGACGACGGGGAGAAATGACAAGATTGACTGGATATAATAGCCCTAACCAACCCTAACTACTAATCGTGGATACTCTCGAAGAAATCAATGGCATAAATGCGCTCGGCTATTAGTGTTATCCTGTCGAGTCCGGTGCCCGACAACAAGATGTCCCATCCTGATTACGAGCAAACCGCCCACGATCACGCCGCCCTGCTGCTACTACTGAGACCCATCGGCACACAGATCAAGCCGAAGACGGTCAGTAGGTTATGCGAGAGAATCATCAAAGCTGGCAGTAGATTCTCCGTGTCTGATTCCAGTGGCGGAATCCGGGAGATCATCGCTAGGTTTGTCAGGGAACATCCCGTGGAAAACAACGACTGGGGGGACTTTCAGACTCACAGAAGATTACTAGGTCTGATTACATTCGGCAAGTATGACAATCAAGCGGAACTGAATGAGCTGTGTAGAGTGCACGAGACTCTCAAAGTGAAGTACATCAATACCTTGTATGATTCGCGAGCTGTTCTTCTTGGTCCCCTTGAATCGAACAGCTGTCACGAGCCACCACCAGGTTTTACCACACCCAGCAACTTTAAAACGCGAGCAGTGTTCTATGCGGATGAAACATGTTCTGATTTGGAAACACAAACAGCTGAATATCTCAATTTCCTGTTCTGGATCTTGGAGTCAAAGAGATTGGAGCGTTCTAGAGAAAAGATAGACCGTGTCTCTCTTCTTCTGGCTCCATTCGAGAAGAAAGATTTTATAGGATTAGATTTAGAATCTAGAAATAACAAGAAAAGATGCGTAGGTCGCATGACAAAACATTTAGGAGATTTGTGTCTTCAAGCTGGACTCCCAGCTGATGCATTAAGTAATTATAATTCTGCAGCCAACATTTTACAAGCGGTCAACGATTGGTTATGGCTAGGAGCAGCATATGAAGGTCTTTGTGCCGCTTCAGTCTTGGTTCTTTATCCTAATATGTGTCGAAGTCTTCCATTGCAAAGAAATTCTTCTCTACAAGAAGGAAGTCCAAGTAAGCAGAGGTATGCATAATCTTTGAAGAAAATTATGATGTAAAAAATAAATTCATTTTTTTTCTGGTTCTATACAACTATATATTAAAGTATTTTAGTTTTTACTATGAAGCTCTAAGACAATAAGAATCTAATGTATTAATAATTCATTATTTTACAGACGAGGGTCGCAAGCTGTCACAGTTTTGCCATCTCCGCCTAGTATAGAGATGGTAAAGGCTAGCATGCCGCATATTTTACTACCTGAGGAAATATCTAAGAAATATCGTGAAGCTATAGTGCATTATAGCAAATATCAATATGCTGGTATAATTGAAACTGAAGCTAGTTTCAAAGCTACAAGAATCTCGATAGAACAGAACTGTACTTTACAAGCTGCATCATATTTAAATAACGTGGTTCTAATTAATTTACCTCTCAGCGAGCGAGAAAAAGTATGTATATAGTATAATTATAATATATGGAGGATTCCAAGATATGTACAACATTTTGAGATATTACATAGATGAAACATTTCAGATTGACCGATTCACTACATTATCGGATCTATATACAAGTTTTGGTTTTGATAGAAAAGCCTCATTCTGTTTGCGATTAGCTGCCACACGTCACGTGTCACAAAATAATCCGAATCCAGACTGGCAACAATGTTATAACTTAATGTTACAAGCTACATCCGGATTTAAATTATCCTTAGATCCTGTTGATATGCCACCAGGTAATTACTATGATTATTATTCTGCTACTATGCATTATCCAAGCAAATTTCATTGAAAAAGCTCTTTTATTCTAAATATATTCTTCTAATTTAAACATAAAAATATGTTCTAATTCTTTTTTCAAATTATAATTGTCAATAAGATTACGTTTTAATATTATTTATTTCACTCTTATATCGATAATGTTCTCTGATACTTAAAATCATTTCTTTCTTTCTCTTTCTTACAGATGGACAAAGGGGATGGCCAGCTATACAAATTCAAATAATAAATGAACTTGTTGCTGCTGCAAACCGAATGGGTAACCCGGCACTCGCTACAAGGCATCTAACATTTTTGCTGCAGACAATGTACAATCACCTAACGGTTACGGAACGAAAAGATACTGCGCTACAGCTTCAAAACGTATCTCAACAGTGTGAGGGTGCACCTGTTCCCCTTGTACGTTAAGATCATAATGATGAATAACGATATGATAAACTAAATTGCAAATTAAACGTTGTCTATTCCAACAGGTTCTGGACTCTGGCACTGTCATACCACCAGCTAATTTATTAAATATACCGAGAACAAAATCATTCACTCTGAAAAATATGCAGCCACATTTACAGCCTCAAAAGATAGAGAGGATAAAAGAGGATCACGGTCCATTTTTATTTACGCCAATTAACTTTGGATCATTAGAGCGCAAAAATACTTCGAAAAGTAAAGTTGGTACGTGCATATCTAAATGCATACGTGCGTATCTAATATCAGTAATATTTAATATGTTTTTATCTATGAACTTTTTGTTGCAACAGATTATTTATGGGTGGAAGGAGATATGTGTGAGGTATCGATGCAGCTAATAAATCCTTTGCAGTTTGAATTGCACGTGTCTAATATGAGACTCTTGACAAATGGCGTGGTATTTGAATCGATACCAGAAAGTATTAGTTTGCCTGCTGAGTCCGGACCGATTGCGGTTACATTAGCAGGCAGGCCGAAGGAAGTTGGAGATTTAGAGATACTCGGATTCAGTACGCATACACTAGGAGTTAAATCTAACTGTAGATTAAGGCATATGGAGAGCATGTTACATCCTCAATATACGGTCGAAGTCATTCCAGCTTTACCAAGAATCGACGTCGCGACTAGTTTGCCGCAAACTGCCAGTTTCAGTTCGGGAGATAATATAGTTACCAGCGCGAGTATATCACTCTATGGTGGCGAGAGGTTCGCATCTTTTTTATTTATTATTATTATTTACTATTATCTTCATGCGAAATTGATAAGCATTATACGATTCTGTTTACGATTTGCAGCGCTGAGTGTACTGTGACAATAACGAATGTTGGACAAGTTCCTATCGAAATGATCGAGTTATCAGTACAATCCACTTTAGATGCTGCAACCGAGAATAAAATTTTTAAATGGAGCGATGAAAATTTAACGACACAATTGCCTTTACAACCGGGCAGCAGTGCGAGTCTTACTTTGTATCTATACGCAGCGACGGACTTTATAGCACCTTCAATTAGAAATGGTAACGTCCATAGTAGTTGGGATAATCCTTTTGCAGCTTTTAAAGCTGTTTTTTCATAACTATAATTTTTTTTCAGATGTTACTAGCAGTACCTGCCTTAGTCAACCAAGCAGCTTAATGTCACATTCGGGTTATAGCTCTCTGCCATCCAGACTGAGTTCTCCATCTCATCATACAAAAAGACAATCCGAATTGACTTCTTCTTTTAGATCAGGAATAAGTTCACACTCTGGGCATTCTTCCTTAGCAAGTACACGTTTATCGAAACTTGCAGTACCTTTGCACACGTCAAATATTATCGAGGGTCAATTAAGAATAAAATACTCGGGAGGCGCAGGCTTAGTAGCTGGTTATTGCAGAACCTCGTCTGTTTTCATAACTATCGAGATGCTACCCAGCGTACAAATTACTAATTGGGATGTACTACCGGCGGAAACGTAAGTTACGCAAATATATATTTCGCAAAATAATTATTTATGTGATTTATATTTATGTCATTCGTAGATATTTTGTCAGTAAATGTCTTTCCAATGTACTTTTAGACCGTCGCAATTTTATCTCGTATTAGATGTGACAAATATGACAAATCACGAAATGGAATTGCATTATACGCAAAGTAAATGTATATACATGGAAGGTAAAGAGCCATGTAGAATTCCCGTGCCAGTTGACCGATGCCCGCTTAATAAATTGTCTATGGTAATAAAGGATGCCGCCTATTTGAAAGTACATGGTAATGTAATGTTATTCTATTATTTTTCATTTGCAGTTAAATGGTGCTGGTGACACAAGTGAACTACAAAAAATATGCGCAGAACACATAGCTTCATTGGTTGATCTACGCTGGCAATTATTAGGTACTGAGTCAACGGGAAAAGCAACTCTATCTGGTATTACTCTAACTCAGGATATGTTAGATTTGGTCAGAATGAGTCCTCTACAGTGGGGTGTGTATATTTTCTTTATTATATCATGCTTATATAACTGAACATTAGAATTATGAATATAGTGAATAAAATGAATATATATATATTTTTTTCAGAAATAACCATCAACGATGCTACTGTAAAAGCGCAAGACGAATTAACATGTGGTTTAGGTGAATGCATCAGTGTCGGTGTCGGAGTATGCAATGCATTGGAACATCCGCTGAATGATCTTACATTGTCTATCAACTTTTATCAAGACCATCATAATGGAGTCAATAATTATCAATTAGAGACCAGATTGTCTATAGCTGGGGCAAATAAAGTCATGTTGCCTGCCGTAAGTTACAACTTTTATAAGTGCACTTTATAGCTGCATACGCTCGCGCGTGTGTCTCTTCTTGTTTCGTATTATCATAGTATCAATAACAGTTACAGGAATACGGCAGAGCTTATCACGAGTGTCGGGTGGTATTTTTCACAGCTGGTCAGTACAAAATAGATATTCAATGCAGTAGTAAAGAATCTGCTCCAAATTCTCCAATACTTTACTCAGAACTTATAAATGCCGGGCATACATGGCGTTACATACCACCCATCGAAATAACCGTCGACGATTATTAATACAAATCACTGTCCACTTAATTCTTAGCAAATTGTAATATTTGTAAAAAAAAATCAGAAATGTTGTTAAATGTATCAATTGTACTAATTATATACATCACAATAAAAAGCTTCTACTTTCTTTAATGAAATTAATTTTCGTGGTTTAATTTTTCCAACAAATTATAAAACTAATTATAAAATATATAAATGTATTATTTTTTCTTCTCTAATTTTATTTTCTTACCTAAAGGAATCATCTCAATATCTTGCAAAGTTCTCCTAAACTTTTTATAAAATTCAAGCACAGCTGTATTAGCCCAAACCTGTCGGCTATTAAAATCTAAAACACGTAAACTCTGTAAACTCTGAGCTCTTGATAATGCTACATAAGATTGACCAGCATCAAATACTCTTGATAGACACATTTCTACACAGTCCAAAGTTAAGCCTTGACTTTTATGAATTGAAAAAGCCCATGCTAATTTTAACGGAACCTGCTTTCTATGTACAAAAGCACCAGAACTGGTTTTAATAGTCCATTTTTCCATCTTTGCTTCATAACGAGTTCCGCATCTAAATTGAATTACTGGTATATCATTTTTAAAATCAATAACCACACCTCGAGCTCCGTTTACCAGTCCACTATTAACATTTATATTTTTTAATAACATAACTTGAGCGCCAACTTTTAATACTAATTTTCCAGGTATAGGTAGCTGTTGATCTAACATGTATGTCATAGAACCATCAGAATCTAACGCTGTATATACTTTAATTTCGCTCTTAAGTTCATTCAACTGGAAATCATTAATTTCATCAGCTTCCTTAACATGTGAACACAACCGAGTCGCTAATACTCCATTACTTTCAATTTTTTGTTTTGCCGTTTCCTTCAAAGTTTCTACAATGTCATCTGTGACCCTACCTATCCTAATGTTATTCAATACTTTCACAAAGATCTTGTCTTTTTGTCTATGGACATTTGCAATTCAAAATTAAAATGAACACATTTTTGCCAAGCCTGACTTTGAAAACAAAATTTTGCTCTGTCATTAGTTTTAGATACAGGTGGCAATTGAAAAAAGTCACCACACAAAATTAATTGTATTCCTCCAAATGGTCTTTCCGTTCTACGTATGTGTCTTGCCACTGCCTCAATTTTATCAAAAAAATCACCATCTACCATAGAAATTTCGTCTATCACCAAATGCTTCGTTTTTCTCCATATTGAAGTTACAGATCCACGAGAAGCTAACTGAAGGCATCTCTCCATAGTACCAGTACCCAAACCAATGCCAGCAAACTGATGTAACGTAATTCCACCGATATGACAGGCTGCTACTCCAGTACTTGCTGTAGCCATTGTTGCATCTGGAGGAAGAGCTGAGATAATCTTCTTCAATAGAAAAGATTTTCCAGTACCTGCACTTCCAGTGAAAAATACATTCTTTCCACTGAGCACAGCATTCAAAATTTTTGCTTGCTCTTCAGTTAATTCTCCTGCAGTAGGATTCTCATACAACTTTTTTGCTGCAGGTACTTTAGAAGTGTGATCACTAAAATGTTTTCGCTTCCTAACAATACTTGGTGAAGGTGTAGTTGCTGTTGTACGCGATACAGCCAGAGCTTTCTCCTTTGCTCTATTGATTTCTGTACTAGTAGCTGGACTAATATTTTCAGCACCTTGCATATTTTCCAAGAGCTTCTCCTTCAAAGGATCCTTCAATGTTTTTTCATCTTGACCAGTTATTTTGATGAATATAGTTTTCAAGAAGTTTATCAATTGAGAGGCAGGTGCATTTGACAAGAACAATGTACAGTTCTGTTCCTTGAATTTAATGGATGCTTTCCCTTCAGTCATATATTTATTAAAAACTGATATACCTTTCAGACGTAGTTTCGTGCGTACATTCACCTTCTCTGCGTGCATCTCAATAAGCATTTCACGTTGATCGTTTCGAATCAAGCGTAAAGACGCCGTTCTGTGAGTTGTTTTTCTTAAAATACCTCCTTGAGAATTTAACCATTCCATGGTGACAGTGCACGTTAACGAGTAACCGTCTGAATCCATGCCCTTTGTAAAAGTAAAATCGTCTCTTAAGATATTTCGAAAAATTGTTTCAATAGATATAATAATTTTACTAATCAATACAATGACAGAGATCATTTAAACTAATACGTGTGTTATACTCACGTGTGAATATACGAAAGTAGGTGGAAGAAATATACGTATGAAAAATTGCTGTTATGACAAACAAGCCACAGCAAGTGAAATGGTAAACTAGAAAGCGCGCGCAATGTGTTTGACGAGAATATGTAACCTAACCTGACCGTAATCAGAATGAGGCATCAAGCCACTGTATATTATGGATGATTCATCTTATAGAAGTGACGGCTGCGTGGAATGCTTCTACAAACGTAAGGGGGAATACATGAAAAGATTATTATCGGTATCATCAACATGGTGTAGCCAATGAAATTCATTACTTCACTTTGCATTTGATTACATTTTTATCTAATAAATACATTTTTTGCAGTCAATCCAGTAATTTTCTCATGTCTATGGTGCAGACTTGATTGGATTTTGACAGAATATGTGTACCACGAAACATTTCGCGTTCTACGCAAGTGCTTGTAGTTTTTATTAGTCACACCGCACTGCTATTCAACGTATTGTTTCATGGAAAATGTGCGAATAATATTTCAAGAGTGCAGTGCATCGAACAAAGCTGCATTTCAGGATCTTGAAAAACTAAGAGTACAAAATGAAGCCTTTAATTGAATTCGAGGAATGTTTGCGAGATACACCAAAGTTTCGGTAAGCTCTCTTGTCTTTAGCTCTTAATTAACTTGTTTAATGTTTAATGGCTTTATACTGTTTTTAAATGTTGCTGTATTTCTTTCATCTAAATTTTTAGATGAAATTATGCAAAATAATACATAATATGTAAAATATTAATTTTACAGATCATGCATCGAAGAAGTAGAAAAAAATGTAGATCAACTTGAACAAAAGTTGGATAAGGTATATAAAACATAATAATAATAGTTTCTTATTTACAAGTGTTCTGTAATATTGTGTTCTTTTATAGTATTATTTATCTTGTCTTCAATGTTTACAGGTATTAAAGAATTGTAGCCTAACTATCGATACTGGAAAAGCCTTTGTTGGACAACAAAAGTAAATTTCATATATTTATGTTCTTATAATGTTATCAGTTCTTATAATTGTATCAGTGTTATAATTGTAGTGTAGTAAATATGCCAAAATTAAGAAGCTAAAAATAACAATAAGGTTTAATTGTCAAAATTGATCAAAGCGAGGATGATTTTTAATGACACTATTTACAAAAATACAAAAATAGCGTTAAGATTTATATAGTAAAAAACTAATAACAAATAATATATAGAACAAAATATAAATGAGAGAAATTATTGTATTATTTTGAATATCAAATCTAAAATATGATTTCAACTATTAGTGTAGTCACTATAAAGTACAAAGAAGATCAAAGTCCTAGCAAATCTTTTACATAAATGTATTTTCTGAACAACATTCTAAGTAAACATTTTTTAATAATTTACATTTAATAAAATATAGCCTTTGTTATGGTATAGATTATTACTATAATTATGTTATATTATATAAATTATTACACTTCCATAATTTTATCATAAATATCAATAATATAATTGTATTTTCCTAACAGCCAATTTGCTAACAGTCTGTGGGATCTATCTTTGTACTTCAACGATGATCCGGAAATAATGGCATTTTTAAACAAACTTATTCATGCTTTACAAGAAATGAACAAGTATCATACTATTTTATTAGACCAAGCTTCTAGAACGGTGATGAAAGATCTTAATAATTTTATAAGAGGGTAAGTTAATATTATATTAAATTAACAAACTGACTTATTCTGTAAAATGTTATCTTGATATTTTTTCAGTGACATCAAGAAAGTGAAAGAATCTCGGCATTACTTTGAAAGAATATCTAGTGATCTTGATGTTGCACTAAATAGGAACTCTCAAGTACCGAAATCTCGGCCTACAGAATGTGAAGAGGCATCGAATATTCTGTCAGCTACTCGATCCTGTTTTCGACACACTGCATTAGATTATATACACGCATTGACGATGTTGCAAGCGCACAAACGACATGAAATATTAGGCACATTGCTGAGCTATATGCATGCATGCATTACTTATTATCACCAAGGTAGTGATCTTGCTCAAGATTTAGATCCGTTTTTGAAAGATCTTGATGAAAATTTAGTTCAGATGAGAAATGATTCAGTCAAACTTGAAAAAGAAATGGAAAATCGGCATATTTACGTTAATAGTCGAGATCTAATCCCTTCTCCAGAACCTGGCAATCCTAAAATGGAAGGCTATCTATTTAAAAGAACCAGTAATGCCTTCAAGACCTGGAACAGGAGATGGTTCTGTTTGAAGGATCATCAACTAGTATACCGAAAACGAACAGGTGACGAAGGTTATACAATTATGGAAGAAGATTTGCGACTATGTACTGTAAAACCTGTAATTGATTGCGATAGGAAAAATTGCTTTGAGGTTTTAAGTCCTACAAAGTAAGTAAAAACATGTTTGTGCAATGATAAATATTTTTAAAAAACTCAGCTTTAAAAATTACTCAGCTATAAATACAAAATATTTTCTTATCTGTAGAAGCCACATGTTGCAAGCAGATAGCGAAGAAACATATTTGGCCTGGGTGACTGCGATGCAACAAGCTATTGGTGCTGCTATTCAGAGAGGTATGAGTATAAGTACTAATACCAATCCGAATGAATCGCAATCATGTGATAATAAACGACTTGTGAGACCATTAACGAGACCAAAATCAAGGTAAATATTGATATAAATGTTTGTAGGCATTGATTGATGTTGGATAGGTAAATATAATTTTTGAAAATTATTGTTTTAAAATTGCAGAGTGTGGGAACAGTTATTGAAGATCTCAGGTAATGACGTTTGTTGCGATTGTGGCGATGTTAACCCAAGGTGGGCTAGTATCAATCTAGGCATTACACTTTGCATAGGTAAAATTTATTTGTATTTTAATTGTATTTACTAATGTGCTATTTGCAGGGCATGCGCACACACAATACATATTTTTTTATTTCTGTGTAGAATGTTCTGGTGTACACAGAAGCCTTGGAGTACATTATAGCAAAGTTCGTTCCTTGACTTTGGATGATTGGGAGCCAGAAATACTAAAAGTGATGGCAGAATTAGGTAATACCGTAATAAACACTATATATGAAGGTCTGCCTTTATCCGCCGACATTATTAAAGCTACGCCAAAATGTGATAGGTAAGTAATATGAATTTATCAGTTATTTACATCTCTTACATCTCTTTTTTTTCTAGTAATGTTCGAGAAGCGTGGATAAAGATGAAATACGTAGATCGTAAATTCGTAAAACCTCTGATTGACGTGCCAACTGGACATCACGTCAGTCGAGAACAAATGCGTTTCCGGAAGTGGAGCGTGCGTAAGCTACGTCGTAGACCACGCAGTTGTGATAAAATCGACAGTAATGATCGTAATAAATTGGCATTATCATCCGTAAAAGAAAACCCTCATACAAGTTTGGATGACAGTAAGCATACGTCAATCGATAGTTTGAATTCCATTGACAAAGCGAAAAAAACAGAACGGATTTCAGTAAGTTCTGATGATAGTGCTAATGTAGAATTGAAAAACAACTCTACTCTTTATAGAAAAATCTTAAATCGTTCGCAAAACGATCTGAATGATGCTAAACATGCTAAAAATATCCGTGTTGTGAGCGACGAATTGGTACAAGATACAGAAAGTGAACAAAAACTGAATGCATCAAGAACGGGTACCGATACGTTTTCAGTTAGTGAATCAGACGACAACTTCAACAAACATATCAGTAATACCAAAGACGAGAAAAAAATTTCAGAAAAAGATTCTAAATCAGAGAAGAATTCTAACGAAAAAGTAGAATCAAACGTTTTAATGTTTGGTTGCGATGTGCCAAAACTCGCTATCGATAGCAACCTAGAATTGAGTTCTGATCAAGATTCAACAGCTGGAGAAGATGAGGAATTTACCAATGAAGAAGATATAGAAAATTTACATCCTGAGATGCTGCTTTACAAAGCTGCAGCGGCACACAATTTACCTGTGATGTGTGCAGCATTGGCGGCTGGCGCAGACAAATTATGGTCTAATGTTAATGATAAAAACCGTAATGCCCTGCATCAAGCAATAATAAGCGTACGTGACTTTTATACAAACAAGAACTTTCTACATATAAGTGTGTATGTGTGGCCGCGCGCACAGTGTGCTTTATCATATTTTTATATATATTATATAGCTTATTCTTTTACTTTTTTTTTAAAGCAAATGAATAAAATAATTAATAAAAGGAAAAAAAATATTACAATTTCTACAATTCAGTTACGAATATGTGCTAAAGTAAAAGCAATCGTTATTTTTAATGCATAGCATTAAATTCATTAGAATAGTATGTTTTAATAAAGATAAAAGTCTCTTGTAAATTCAACATGTCTTACAAGATTAGTCTTGCATGACTTTGTACAAAATATAAAAATCTAATAATATGTTTTCCATGCACAGGGTTCTGTTATGTCGTGCGAATATCTTCTCCTGAATGGCGCACGAATTAATTGTCAAGACGCTGAGGGGAAAACACCGTTACATTTAGCGACCGAATTAGGTATACATTATATAATCATTCTTCCTACGTTCTTGAAATACTATATCTTATAAATATTTTGTTGTATAGGACATACCGCACAAGTTTGTTTACTTCTAAAGCATCGTGCTGATCAGCACATAGAAGATGAAAGTGGAATAAAACCTTTGTCGATTGCTGTAAAAGAAGCGAATGCTGACATTGTCACTTTGTAAGTATTATGCAAGAGTTCGGGTATACATAATATATTTTATTTTCCTACGACGACTCAACTTACGACGTTTCAGATTACGACTCGGCCTCCTAAATGAAGAAATGAAAGACTCTGAAATAGGCGTCACCGGTGATGAAACGTTCAATGATGTCGTTCGTGATTTCAGTCAATTGGCTTGTTCGCATCCAGAACGATTACAACGTCGAAATGAAGCTACGAATCTACCACACATGCCTGAATGAGGTTTACAAATTCTATCATAACCAACTACAAAGCTTTATGAACAAATAATATTTTATATATTATAAATTGCAAAATCTCTTCTCCCCCTCCTTCCCTTCTTTCTCCCTTTCTCTCTCCCTTTCCCGAACACATAATCGAAGAGTATTGAATTATCATATAAATGTAAGTGAAACTGGCATTTTAAAACGCTTTATATGAAAAATTTTCAAATATCAATTTTTTTCACTTTTGTAAACTCTTGTAAAAGATAAACAATTATCCTAATATTTAAAATGGATCCATATATTGCGTTTTTTAATCTAATATATATGATTTAAGCTGTGTACATCGAAAGTTTCATTTTACACTGGTAAGCTTTAAGTTTATTGTTAAGTACATTACGGTCTAAAGAGAGATATAACTCTAAGATAGATTTTTCTATGCATACATATATCTTCATATATATCTTCATATGTTTTACTTATTGGTGTTATAATTATCTGCGATTTAACTTAATTTAGTTATCCTACAAATCGCTTAGAGAATAGCATGGCATTGACATAACAAGAACCGTCATTCTATTTTATATATATATATATA